ATGCGCTGTGACGAGTTCTTTTTCATCCATTGCTCCCATTGTGAGTTTGGTCATTCAAGTGGCAGAAGTTATCCTACTGTGGATATAGAGTGAAGGGGCATGCGAGTAAAACTGAAGTATTACTTTATGTGAAGAAATATCAGCAAAAGCATTAAAAGGTCATAAAACGTGATAAAATCACAATGGGAGCATTTTCTAGTCCTTGAGGGATAAATTCCATGTAATGCAAAAATACCATCCTTCACAAAACCCGAACCCTAGTCTCCCGCACATGAAGCGTCACTCTTACCACCACACCAAGCCGCCATTGAGAAGAATGGCGCAACCATGTAATTTAAGTTTTCTTATGTTAAGCTCCCTGGAACCACCCTCATAACTCCGTCCGCAGAAACGCTCGGCAAATTTGGAAAGCAGATAGAAATCAGCATCCAAAAACACGTCCAGCAGTGTTGGTCTCATTTCAAATGGCCACTTCGACTTGGGTTCCTTTCCTGGTTAGCAGAACGGGGAACATAACATTCACCACGAATTACGCCGCGCGGCAAATGGCGCGGCGAAATTCGTGGTGATTCAAATTTGACGGAGGGTAGATAGGTAACATCAATTCTCCCTACTTATCCAATTTACTTAAATATTATGCTCCAATGGCAGGCGCCAGACACGTTTAAAGCTCCATGAATTTCGTCGCACAGTTCGCCGCGTCCATCCAGATTTGGTGGATGTCCCCATACTCTAGGGAAACTGATGAAAGAAATTTGTTTCACTCTGGTCTGTTAACAGTGCAGAAGCCTTCGACGCTATCTCTATCCCGCTGTTTCTGGGGAAAGCGATGTCATTAAAGAGTGCCTATACCAACATCCTGCCCTTTCTTAGTAACATGAAAGACAAGGTCTGGACGGCTCCAGAGCTCTTCTGACGTCAGATAGAAGCTGCGGACCCATAGGCCGCTCTACCTGATAACCCAAGATGTGTCATGCAACTGGTATTTCCTCTTCTACCCTCCCCCAGATCTTCCTACCTTATCGTTTAAACCGCTCTGTTCTCGACCACTATTTGCCAACATTGTGTCCAAGGCGGAGTATGTTGGAATGTAAAAGGATCTCATCATATATAACACGCTAAGTGTGTTTCTTGGTTTGTCGATTTTTGTGTGTGTGTATGAATATGTGTTGGTGTGCGGGTCGGTGTGTTTTGGACAGGCAATTCATAATTTCTGTTCCCGTATGCATAGAGCGTTCAAATTTGGTAATAATACAAGCGGGAGGATGGGAACACTTATGGTGGATGGCAGAACTGGACTCCGCCCGTCGGGGGCGGGGTGTGAGCGCAGTTAATGTTTGACCGTGATCCCATGACTGTAAATTTTGACTTAAGCGTTCAAATTTTGTAGGAGTACAAGCGGCAGGATGAGAACAAGGATGATAAGAGTTAGAGAATGATTAAGCTGAACTCTGACCTCTGGGAAACTTCGAAGTACCCCGTTAAGTGTGGTCGTGTTGAAGCAGCTGTTTCATCGCGCCAAAAGTCTGCTATAGTGACGCCCAGTTGAATCGTCACGCTCGCGCCGTGTTGAAATTGGACTATCGCCTGCATCCTTTTTACAAGTTTGGATGTTCTAGTAAA